AGAGAGAGAGAGAGAGAGAGAGAGAGAGAGAGAGAGAGAGAGAGAGAGAGTATACAAACTTATCAGTAAACTATTATTAACAAAAGTTAAAAAAGGAGCATACAGCCAATATGCCGGTTATTTGTTGCGCTATCGATTTAAAATAATCATTACAAATTGAAATTCATAGACATTTCGGCCAATATTCGGCCTTCTTCAATATGTTCTATTATACAATTTTAAGTCGGAAGTTAAATAAGTTAAAAATTACAATTTAAAAATTATAAGAGATTAAATCTCAGTCCAATTATAATGTGTGATGGTCAGTTAATATAAGAAGTTGAGTGTAGAAGATAAAAGTATAAAATAATCGTATCTTATAAAATAATTGATTTGTGTGACTATTACAATGTTAGTCCGTTATTAAATGCAAATCCTCGTAAAGAATTTTCAAGTTCTAATTTACATAATTACATAATTATAAAGATTTTTTTTAATACATAATTATAAATCATCAATTTTCTTGATGTTAAATTGTTAATTGAAGATGGAAGAATTGTCTGAATCATGTTTGATATATATATATATATATATACAAAAAACTGACTAATTCAGGAAGATACATGAATTTCCTTTCCAATCATCCTATAGATCATAAAAGAGCAGTTATAATGAGATAATTCGATCGATATTATTTTTGTCATCCACAATTCTATGAAAACATCTCCAATATGATAAAAACATTAATTAATAATGATTATCTTTTGGATTTTATTTTTGCCACGATAAACAGCAGAATCAAATCATTTTCATACAAATATATTACTGAGGAAAAAACATACATGACAATTACAGTTTTAATAATCACAATTCAAAAAGCTTCTTTACTGTCCTTATATTAATATATTTGAAAAATGTAAAAGTTTATCTCATAAATTTAATATTGCATACAAACCCACGAATAATTTAGATAAATTCATTAAAACCAAAAAAGACAAGACAGTTAAAAAAAGAAGATAATAGCAGATAATGTAATAAATTGTAAAATAAATTGTATATAAATAAGGTTGTGATTCCTCTTACGTGAGGCAAACTAAAAGAAAACTTAACACCCGAATCAAAGAACACAAAGCAGATATTAATAAATCATCTAATTTATTATCTTGTCATTTGTTGTATTTTGCCATCAATTAAACAAAGATATTGTGTGATCATGTTTTAGATTGGAATAATATTTTAATCTTAGATTCAGAACCATCGTTCATTTACAAAAGAACAATTTCTGGGATGATGCATATTAAGAACAAAAATCAGGATTGAATAAGCAAAATGATGCCGATCGATTACCGGAATCATACTTGCCTATTAAACGAATAACCTCCTATTTACAACTTCCACTTCACTCCTCTAATTTTTCCTTTCCTAATTTTTCTAACTAATATAAATACAAAACACAGAGAAACACAAAAATTCTGTTAACAAGTAACGTACTAAAAATCTTTCTTCCATCCTTAAAAATTCAAATTATAAAGAGTGGAAAATTATCAGTGAATAATTGTAACTCCTATCATATACGAGTAAAAGTATGTTAAGTAATCGTTTGTACTATCTTTATAATCATGTATTAAAAAAATCTTTATAACTTTGTAATTATGTAAATTCAAATTAGAACCTGGAAATGCTTTATGATACGAGGATTTGCAATTAATAACGGATTAACATTATAATCAAAAAACCATTTCATAAGAACTTTATACGGTTTCATACACTCAACTTCTTATATTAACTGACCATCGCACATTATAATTGAACTGAGATTTAATCTCTTATCATTTTTAAATTGTAATTTTTAACTTATTTAACTTCCGACTTAAAATTGTATAGTAGAACATATTGAAAAAGGCTGCATATCGGCGAAACGTCTATGAATTTAAATTTGTAATGATTACTTTAAATATGACAATATCACAACAAGTAACCGGCGCATTGACTCCTTTTTTAACTTTTGTTTATAAGTATTTAGCCATTATTTATTTCTACATTGTAAACTATTATTATTATTTTAATTGTATTAGAGGTTTATGTTTGGGAAAAGCGTTATTATTTATGTTTTATGTTGCATTCTCAGCTTTCATCTCTACACATAATAATTCATTTCGTTTGCATTTCAATAAATTATTACTATTATAACGTACATAAAAATTATTATATACTATTATATACTATTATTATTATGTATTATAATATATATATTCTATGAATATAAAAAATTACATGAATATTATTTTTATAATATGTATTATATAAAGGCATAAGAATTCAAATTTATGACAATATATTATGCATTAAAAAATTATATTTGCATTTATATTACGATAGAGAATTGAAGTTCATGGAATTTGTATAATTCTCAGGTCATCGTGTAATAACGTTGGATATTTCGCACACATTTTATCGTACTACTAGACATTATTGAACAGCTTTTGTATAGGAAAGAGGAGATTGCGGATGTCCGAGAACAACCTTTGTAATTATTCTCCTTTCAATCTAAAGTATTCTTAGATGATAAATTCTGACAAATCTTACAGTTAAAAAACTACTGCTGTGAAGATTGAATCGTAAAAATAGGCTGCCTATTTTGACGAAGTATTAGTATTATTTTGAAGAGTTTCCTTTTTTTCTCGATTATCACAATTTTTTCAACATTTATTGAAGTAAATTACTGTATGAAAAAAAAGTATTATATAACAAATTTTAAAAATATGTTGGAACATAAATTTTTATGACACGTGTTGTTTTTTAAATCTTTGTTTCCAATTTTAAATTTAACAGATTGAGTTATTTCAGTAAAAATACTAATAATAACTTTTATTACTTTTAATTATGATTTG